TTATAATTATATATATTATTCATATCATTTGTTACTAAATCTTTACATAAAATAAAACAATTATGTTTATTTTGTCGACGTGATAATAAAAATCTTCAAATGCTGTATAAGCATCGGGGATATATTTTTCAATATAGCGCCATGTTTAACATCGTAATGGCGCCATCTCTCGAAAAATCTACGCAACTGGACGTTAAGATGGCACATCTAATTTCGCGAATCATCTAAAGATGTGAGCACCTTGACGACAAAAGCAGCGCCACATCGACGCGTGAGAGACAGCGAAATTACTTCCTTTTTCTTTTCCTGCATACGACTCGTATGATGTTCGTACGATAATATAGTGTGGTTATGTAGTGTTTTGTACATCGCTTTTATATATTGCATTAGCAACGAATTCTACTGTTGATCGTTACGTCGATGTGTTTATGACGCGATAAAATGGCACCTACCATACAAACCAACAGCAATCAAACGGACAGAGATAAACGACCGGTTAGACCAGCGGAGAAGCGGTAAATGAGCGTATCAGCGAATTAACCTAGAGATGAATACAACTGTAACGTTGTTACATTGATTCGCGCTTTTTTTCAGATCCGAGCTCATATGCAGAGTTAAATATTGCAACACGTTGCCAGACATCCCGTTTGATCCGAAATTTATAACATATCCCTTCGAACCGACCAGGTGAAGAGCGAGATCCACCAAATTTCAATTGTCTTTCTGTTCTTAATAATCCGTGATGTCTACCACACAGGTTTATTCAGTATAATCCGACCTCGTTAGAGCGCAATTATAAGTATGAAGTATTGACGGAACACGATTTAGGTGTGGAGATTGATTTGATAAATAAGGATACATATGCGGGCGATCCTAATGCTCAATTGGATCCAGCTGATGAAAAGTTGCTGGAGGAAGATGTTCTTACGCCGCAAGATTCTAAACGATCTCGTCATCATGCCAGGAGCGTTTCCTGGTTGCGGCGCACAGAATATATTTCTACAGAGAGTACCAGATTTCAGCCTCAGACAGCAGACAAAGTTGAAGCCAAAGTTGGTTACAGTATCAAGAAGAACTTTAAGGTATATTTTCTACATTATGCAATACATATTCAATACTTTAACACAATACTCAATACTTTTTTCAAAAGTGCATTTTTTAATATACAATTCAATTATTTTTAATCAGGAGGAAACACTGTACATGGATCGCGACAGTCAAATAAAAGCCATAGAGAAGACATTCGAAGACAATAAAAAGCCAATTGAAAGACACTACAGTAAACCAAATGTAGTACCTGTAGAAATTCTGCCAGTATATCCAGACTTTAAGGTATCATCTTGCAAATTAATTGTTGTAAATATTATTATCAGCATATAATTTTTCTAACAGTTTTTATAACAATTTTTTAGTTATGGAAATATCCATGCGCACAAGTCATATTTGATTCTGATCCTGCACCAACTGGTCGATCTGTACCCGCACAGATTGAAGAAATGTCACAAGCTATGATACGGTAAGGTTTTGCAATAATTTTATATAATACAAAAGGTAGAAAATATAAAAAAAAAGAAATTATCTTACATTCGAATTAATATGTAAATATTATTGAACAATGTTTTTTATAGAGGTGTAATGGACGAAAGTGGCGAACAGTTTGTAGCTTACTTTTTGCCGTTGGAAGAAACGTTGGAGAAGCGTCGTCGAGATTTCACTGCTGGTATTGATTACGCCGACGAAGAGGAATACGAATACAAAATGGCGAGAGAGTATAATTGGAACGTCAAAAGTAAAGCTTCGAAAGGATACGAGGAGAATTATTTCCTTGTGATAAGACAAGACGGGGTATATATACGAGCGCGTAGTTATATCATGCATATCATTAATTCTGTATTTTGTCATGTTAATCCTTTTGTGTACTTCAGGTTTACTACAATGAACTGGAGACACGTGTGCGACTGAGCAAACGACGACAAAAGGTCGGACAACAACCAAACAATACGCGCCTGATAGTGCGTCATCGACCGCTGAACGCCAACGAATTCAGAATGCAGAGATATCGCGAAAAACAATTAGAGCCGCCGGGAGAGGAGGATGAAGATGAAGAGGAAGAAGAGGAAGAGGAGCAGGAAACTCAACAAGAGAAAGCAGACGAGAAAGATATACCAGTTAAAGGTTCGTTTCACATATTTGTCGAAAATAAAGTAAGCTATTATCATTTCATTCTGGATATTTTTCCAATAAATAAAAAATCTGTAGGTTCTGAAGCGGAAAATGAAGGAGAATCACGTGCATCGTCGAGAGCGTCCTCACGGGCATCCAGCAGAAAATCACGATCTCGCTCGCGATCTCGTTCCGGTTCGAGATCGAGATCAGGATCAAGATCCAGATCCAGATCAAGATCAAGATCGAGGTCGAGATCGAAGTCAAAATCGCGTTCACGTTCACCTTCACGTTCACGTTCACGTTCACGATCACGATCACGTTCACGTTCACGTTCACGATCACGATCACGATCACGATCACGATCACGATCACGATCACGATCACCATCCAAATCTAGATCACGGTCTCGATCACGCTCACATTCTCAGTCGCGTTCGCCATCTAAATCGCGATCTCGGTCCGGCAGTCCTCAATCGAGGAATACATCAAGATCTAGATCCAAGTCAAGATCGCGCTCGGGAACGCCTGCGAAGTCACCGTCGAGATCCCGATCGAGTTCGCGTTCCAAGTCCAGATCGCGATCAAGATCGAGATCCGGTACTGGTAGCGGAAGCGGCTCTGCAAGCGCGAGCGGCGAAAGCGGCTCTGAGAGTGAATGAATCGAAAAACGTGATCGATAATACCCGTTTAATTTTAACATTGTCATCTCTCGATCTGGATTATTATATTTCAACGAATATTTGTTTATATTATTGTAAATTAAAAATATTCCGAAGAGCAGTTTCGAATATCAGAATAGAATCACAATCAGAAAGCAATTCTTTGACAGTAATTATATATGAATAATTATAGAGTGTACGAGTGCGTTCAGCGGCAGGATTAAAGAAATAATAAATTTATATAAGGAAAGTATATATGTAATGTGTTGTATATGTGTATATACTTACGTCAATACTTAAATATTGATTGAAATTGATCTTGCGATAATCCTGTGTGATAGCGTATATTACATTTTATAATTTTTATGACATTTGGCGATAAACATGTTGGAGCAAAATGAAAGAATGGTAAAAAAGTTATCTTGAGTGCGATATCTCAGTGATGACAAATCTGTTTTATTTTTTTATTATTTTGTTTTCGTTCTCTGCCAAGATACATTTATTTCGATTCACGTGCAAATACATGCAATACAACAAAAACAAATTCGATAATTACACAATAATTTTATTAGTTAGCTCCTTGGTATTGCGTTCGATTTTATTACGAGAGAGAGAGAGAGTCAAGAATTATATTTTTTGAATACCTAAAACAACGTAGGAATTACGTGGTATGTCGATAATGCATTTTTACACATTGTAGTTAACAATGACGCTGTCATAGGGCGCCACGCATACCATTTGCGGTGTGACAATTCGGTGTTGCGTCATTCACGATCTATTGGACTTGGCCGAACGGTTCGTGTCCAATCGTGTCGCTGCGAATCGCACATGGCAGTTTCTGGCAGTTCTGAATTACTGACAGTGGTATTGTCTAAAGTGCTAAGGCTACACAGAAGCGAATAAGGTGGTTCGAAAAATCATAAGGTACGAGCGCATTAATTAAATCGGATTAGACGAAAGAGGCATGAGCCACGTGGACGAATCTTTTGTTTGCTGACGTCATCTGCACCTTAATTCTTGTACTGATTCGGAAGGTTCGGGATTTCTATCAATTCTGCTAGTTCATTTGATTGTTTACTGTCTCTTTTTCTCCTCTATATAATGTATGTATTATTGGAATGCAAGAAGAGCAGGATGAATCAAACTGGTCGATACAAACTTGGAGAAAATTAGAACCACGCATTAGCGTTTAGAGACACTGCCTGCAAATCGTTTCTAATTTTAATATTCGCGAATCTATCGTTACGCTCAACAGAAGTGCATCGTTTATCTCGCATCAATACGTTCGCATTGTTTGGGTATTTAAATTCGCCATTTGGTGCAATCACGGAGTAACTTATCGCGTATGCTGAAACATTGACCCTGAGAGAGCGCGCGCGCTAATTGCTACGTGCTATCTTCTCTCTCTCTCTCTCTCTCTCTCTCTCTCTCTCTCTCTTTCCCACTTTTTGCTTTTCTTTATCTCACTCTCTTGTCTCTCCCTCTTTCCGATTACTCTCATCGCGAGATAAACAAGTCAACGACAGACAATTTTATGTTCGTATTATCGCGCACCATGCATAATTCTGTCGTCGCGTTTCGCGAGAGGAACGGAAGAGAAAATCACACGACGATGAATCCGTTCGAATTCCCCGACGATGGTATCATGAATATGGAGATGGAGGCCGGAGATGATATTCCGGTGAGTTGACGTGGAGTTACGCGGCTACCGCGACGTACGAGAATCATAGAGAGAACGATAGAATGCGGGGCGCCGCGCGACACGGATATAAGAAATGAGAAAAGTAAACTCGCCGAAAGATTATAAATCGCACAGCTGTTTTCCGTTCTCCGTCGCGCGAGTGTGTCGGCTCGATGTTTTTCATTTATATACGTACGTAGTGGAGCGACGCGTACAGCGAGCGCGACACGAGCGGTCGGCCGATGATGTCAGATTTATATAAGAGTTTAATGTTATCAATTCGCGGAAACGGCTAGGCACCCGATTGTAACGCTAACAATGCAAATAAAATTACCGCAAGACGTAGATCTTGGTGTTTTTGAGAAACGCTTCAAGAGCGCGCCGATTTAAAGATCCCGTTTAAGATCTCTTTCGATTTATAATGATTATATTGTGAATATAATTAAATTTAAAGTATTCCGCTATCAAATGTAAAATTGCGAATACGCAATTTCGCGACGATAGCGACGATAATCAACGGCAATTGCAATGCGATTGCAATTTAGAAATTTTATTTATACGTTATAAAGCATCGCCGGTGTAGAATTGGTTGAAATAAATTCTCAGTCATCACGGTTGACTCTGAAAATTACTCTGAAATTTAACGAGGTCGCGAGCGGGAATGGTCCCGTCGGTTTTTACGAGCCGACCGTCTCCGCTAAATTTAGGGGATCTCGTCTCCCGTGAGATGCGCGTCACTATAAAATCCCGTTCGTGGTTTTCGAGTCGAGGCTGTGCACGTTGGCGCGAAGATGTCAGGGCCGGTTTCTTAACAGCAGCCTCAAGGCCTTATTGGGTAAATACGGAGCACCGGCGTTACGCGATGGCGCGCTGGCAGAAAGTTAACGTAACAACCGTACTGTGTCGGATGTTAAAATGTCGATATCAATATTTGCCGCGCGTCTCCTAGGGATCGTGATTAGTGTATCACGATCGAACACTCGTCACATAGGTCTAAGCTGTACGTAAAAAACAATTTAATTTAAAAAAAATACAATAAAGTTCATTATTGTACGGCTTTACATTGAAGAAACATGAAAATTAGCAATTTTTATTGATACTCTTTCAATTCTTAATTGTAAAAATTTGCTTTTGAGAACCGATATAAAAAATTAATAAAACTAACGATTTTTTGCATGTTAATTTAGATGGCACCGAAAAATAAAGAAAATAGCAAACGGAAGAAGCAGCAAATGGAGGACGAGGGCGATGAGGACTATCGGAAGCGGCGAGATCGGAATAACCAGGTGATTTATATTTTTTTCACGTGAATTATGTATAATTTGCATACACATACTCATCATTATTCTCGCACAGGCTGTGAAACGATCCAGAGTGAAGAGTAAGTTACGCACGCAACAAACCTTGGAACGAGTAAATCAGCTGAAAACGGAGAATGAATTGTTGGAGGAAAAGATTAAAATGCTTAACAAAGAGCTTGGCTTTCTCAAGGATCTCTTTCTCGCACATGCAGGTAAAAACTTTAATTAAAAATAAATTATTATTGAATGCAAGTTGCTGAATCAATTAACTAAACCATGTTTTTATCTTAGGTTCCAGTCAACACTCCATAAACGTTCAAGATATAGATCTAACTGCTCTTTTGGCGGAAGAGAAATCTACAGAAGATTCGATGAAGACTACCACTAAGCTGTAGATTGACACAAGCACCACGCGAAGCGATTAGCGTGGTATTAAATCTGAAAATGCGAGAAAGCATTCTGGCTCGCTTAATCAAAACGACAAGTGGACATCTTGGAAAGATGTCTACTTTAAATTTATCGTGAAAGATTTTAAACGAGCGTTCTCGGAGCGCGAGCCTTCCAAGTTGTAATATCGAATTATCACCAGCTAAATTTACAATTTATTGAAAACTAATGGAGGCGAGAGTGCAAACTGTGGTAGAATCGCGGGGAACTTGCGATAAATTCGAGTACGGAAGTATTCACTTTAATCATCAGCCAGGAAGACGAGACGATCTTTGATTTAATAAACAGGAAAAATGATAAAAATGAACATCACTATGTACGGGATATACGTGCATATAGATATTAGAACGGTACATGTCACGAATGTGAGAGATGTGCTTTTACGTGCATATAGAAATAGCTATGAAAGAGAATTTTAACACTTGTGAATACCATTTACATATAATTTATTTTATTGACTATGATGTTTATATCTGTACATTTCTGCATTATATATAGCATTTTAAACAAATTGAGATGAATTACAAACGCGTGCAATATATAAAATTTGAAAATATATTTATAAGCTGAAACTCATATTTTGATGCATTTTATGATGTGCATCTTTGTACAAATATCAACATGAGAAATTATTAGATATATTAATCTTTGTGATTATCGTTAAAGATATTTTTTCTTCGAACATTTCCGGTAAACGTCGTTGTTAAAACGTAACCAATAATATTGACTCCTAATGTTGACTCCTAAAAATAACAGTCGTAATGTATTTAAATATTACGATTTGTAAATATCTATGAAAGTAAAGGCATTTGTATGTACAACTACATGAAGCAATATGCATATTGCAAGAAATATGCCTGAAATAAAGTCTTCTGTCTTTTTTCTTCTTTTTTTTCTTCTATCAGCGTCTATTAGCGTGCTAATAAAAATACGCGGAAAAACTTGAAAAAAAGATTTTTGCAATATTCTTGCAATTTAAATCAAAGTGGGAAAATTATTGTTAGTTTAAGACTATATGGTCTTAATATTATCAATAAATAATAAAGTAAAAATTTTTTTTAATACTTTGTAGACATACAAAAATTTATCTTATATATCATCGGAATTTTGATGATGAAATCAATTGTATGCGATTAAATTGCCGGTGGGTGACAGACATCCCATCGCCGACGGCACCTGTGTGCTTCAATATTCGCGGCCGAAAAGACCCGATCAGATTCTTCGTCAGTATTCGTGCACACGAACG